TAGCCTAAGTCACATTTTTACCATAAAAACCGTATTTCTAAAAAAACCCTCAACATTAAACAAGCCAGACCACACATGCCAAGATCTACTGAGGAGAAACAATGGGTTCAGAGCAGTAACGTGGTGTGCCTGAGCACAGCTGCCCGCACAGCCTTGCTGTTATTTTGGGGAGGGTTTTTCCCTGCAGATCCCTCGTCATGGGATCCTCCATCGGTCTGGGGTGGTGGAGCTGTGCCAGGCACAGAGCTCTGCCTGTAACTCTGCCTCCTGCCCCTGTGATCTCTGCAATTTGGGGAGGGGAGAGGGAACCAGGTGTTCCCACACTTCTCAGAGAATTTGGGTATGTTACAGGACAATGATTTCCAGCTCCCTGAAATCCTCACGACACTTCCATCTCCAAAACATGGAGAGTGGCGGGGAAGGTTGATTCTTCCTGTTTACAAGCCAAGCAAACCCCTTCCTGGCCAGCTCATGTCCCATTTCTTGGTCAATGCAATTAACATCCATAATTGTTTTTCCAGGGAGAGATGTAAAGAAAACGTTTTTCCTACCGCTGAAGACTTGAAAGGCAGGATACAGAATATGAAAAAATATTTGGATCTGCTCCACTGCTTCATGCATAAATTGTCAGTCCCTTTACGTATATCACTGTGTACAGGGTCAGACTGTGCCACTGCTTCCAGGCTTTTCCCTGTCCTGGTCTTATTCATGGTGCAGAAACAAATAAATTAGCAGCTGTCCTTTTTTTCTAGCAACAGAGCTGGGAAAACAGAGATGTTGCTGCATCTTGCTCTGGCAGCCCAATACACCAATACAGACAACACACCTGGCAGCCCAGCTCCTGCTTTCCATGCTGAGCCTAGGAAAAAAAGATCCTTATGAAGGCATTTTGTGTGCTGTTGCTTTTCCTTGGCCCCTCAGTGACCACAGTAGCCACCGTGCGCTTGACATCTATTTCTTTGCTCTTGCAAATAGCAGAGGTGTTGGAGAGGGATGGACAAGCTTAAGTCGGATGGACAAGCTTAAGTCTGGCTGGGGTGGGGGATATGCACGTCCTGTGCAAAATCCTCCTGCAGGGCCCTGTCAGAACATCCCAGCCCTGGCCTCCTGCCTCAGACTCCAGTAGTGTTGGGTCACTGTGGCTTCTGGCTATGCTGGAAACCAGCTGGAACGGCGTGCTCCTAGCTTCACCTCCCTGCTGTCTCTCTGCACATCTTGTGCTCGGGGCCTTTGGGCTGGCCAGAGGTAAGGCAGCCACTCCTCAATGGGTCTTGGGATATTTATGGTGTTCTCTTCACATCATGCAGCTTTCAGCAAAGCCTGTGAAAGGGACAATGAAGAACTGGTACAAACATCAATTTGGCAACGGCTTGTTGAATTTCCAGAGGTCCCAGGCACCAGCAGCCTCTCCAGGGCCTGGGTGGCCAGCGATGCCAGCAAGAGGCTCTCCACGCCCAGTCCCTGGCTGCCTCCAGGGCTACTTGAAAGACAAACACAAGCCCGGGCCCCAGTGGGGCAGAAGCCACAGCAGGCTGTGCTTGCAAATCTTGGTGTACAAGGGGAGCCTCAGCTGGAGCACAGACAGAGCCACTGCTCCCAATGCACCTGAGAGCTGGGGCTGGACTCCTTCCCTCCAGCCCTTGCGCTCAAAAAGATGTCCCTGAGTCCTCCTGAGTTTCATTATCATGCACTACAAAAGCGAATTAATAGGTGGATGCGTTAAGTGTCAGCGATGTAACAGGCTGGGTGAAGGGAGAGTGGTTCTGTACCAGCTAAACCCTGACACACAGAGAGCCTGGATCTCTGAGGTTCGCTGCAGTGTAGCTTATCATCTGAAATGCTTCCAAAAGAAATGAGATCCCATTGTGAAAGCAGCTCCATACCTTTATTTATAGCTCCACTTTGGCTATCCTTTGAAGATATCCATCCAGATGATAATCCTCATTTGCTTAAAGGAAGCTGAGCAGAATCAAAACTGCATTCCCCCTCTGGGAAGATCTGCCCTGGGGTATTTTCCTTCCATTGCAATTGCTGAATTACTTCCAAGAATTTTGCAGCTGGCTCAGCCCCACATTTTCACTTGTTAACTAGCTCTCTGATGATTAAATAATGCGTAACGGCTCACATGATTTTTATTTATTTTAAAAATAAATAGAATACCGATGGAGGAGTAGAATAGTTTCAACACCAACACGCCCTCCCACACACGCACAGGGCAAGAGTCAAGCTCCCAGCTTTGCAGCAATGACTTCCATGGAGGTGGCCGGGCAAACCTGAGTGTGGACAACAGGGAAGGGTCGGGCCCAAGGCATGGAGAGGCACGGGTGGGTTTGTGACAGTTCTCAGGGCTTGTGGTCCAGGAGTGAGCTTCAGGGAGGCACCTTAGGGAAAGGAAAGGTGGTTTTAGCTTTAATGTCCCCAGTGAAGGATCTTACAGAAGGTCTATAGCACCACGGAGCAGATTCTCTGCTAAGCTTTTCCTTCACATTTTTGGACTTGAAGAGCCCTAAAGTAACATGGGATAAAATGCAGGAGCCTGCTGATATCACCTCTGATCCTTCTCTCAAGTGAAAGGAAAGAAAGAAAAAGCAAACCTGCAGAGCGAATGTTTGCCAGAGAAGCACTCAGCAGAGGTACACTCCAGGAGCTCCTGAAGAATTTCAGGTTGAGCCCAAAGAGCTGTGTCTGCTTCTTAGAGGATCACAACCAAAATCAACACAAATCACAAGGAAAAAAAAAATCTTGTTTACAAAGGCAGAGTAAGGACTGATTTCCCTAAATTACCAGTGACACGAAGAGCAGAACGTACCGAGTCCCACTGATCAGAGAGATAAGTAACAAACCATTAAGGTGTCATCAGAATATCTGCACAAACAGAGCATTTCATATTGGCAACACCAATAGCTTTAAAATCTCATTTTTGGCTGGCAATTAATCTCTTGGGACAAATAACTAACTTTTAAAATATTTGCTTTGGTTCTCATGAAAAAAGAGGGAGTGTTAGCCCTGGCTCGGGACATTCCTCACTGCATCCAGGCTCTCCAGCCCATCTCCAGCCTTGGCAGTGCGATCCTGCCTGTGTGCTGCAGGGCTTCTTGGTTGTGCAGGGGAAAGGTCAGGTCCCCAGGGACCAAGGTGCATTTATTTCCCCTTCACCTGTGAAAAAAAACGCAACTTCCACATTCAAAATGCACAAAGATGCCACTGTCTTACTGTGAACCCTCAAATCTTCGATATTTGTACATTTTTAAATAAAATGATGCTGTATGATTGCCAACTAATTAAAGAAATTAATCAGACTGCCTTCATAAAAGCATAGTCAGTGAAGAAATTCTCAATTACTTGGGAAAACACTGGATGTATGGAAAGTTATCTGTAAATGCTAATGCACAGCTAAATGCTGCCATGTGTAGTTGATTGCTTGGGAAAATGTATGCCCATGGTTGATTGCAGGCATAAAATTAGAGGCTTTTTTTTTTTCTTAGTAAGAAGATAAATGTAGTCAGTAAATCGTAAGTTCTAAAGTTTAAAAGATAGATAAATAGACAGAGAGAAGCCTCCTCCCAGTGGCAGGAGAACAGGCTGGCAGACTGGTTTCACAGACTGGCATTTTTCTGCGATCGCAGTGATGTCATTTTCTAGGAGGCTGGCCGCTGGCAACCAACGGCACTGAAATGCCAGAAGTAATTAAAAAGCCGATTTCCTCCAATGTCCCTGATTATGCTTGCCGGGACATGTTTCTTGCCATATGAATGTCTCACCAAGCTGAGCTAGAGCCAGAAGTGTATGAGATTTACTGGCTGCCTCTATTTTAAAAAGTGCTTATAGTAAACATTTTACATTTGCTAAAGTATTAAAGTTTTTAAATGTCTCAGCACTGCCCTCACACACAAGAATTACCCAGGGAGGGGGGTGGGTTTGTTTATCTATGGTTTCAGGTTGTTGGCTTAAAAAACTCTTATGTGAGTTCTTTAGTGGAAACAAATGTCACATCCTCTGTATCTGACTGGCGCTTAACACACTGGGTCCAATCCTGGCCAGGATCTCCTCTAACATCTGTACCACATGTAAGAGGGCATTAACAGCATTAAACCTTGACTTGCTACTGCAGACTGCTGCCCTTCTTTATGTGATGTCCTGGAAAAGTGCAATGCCTTCTGCCTTTAACTGTGTCCCAGTCTCTGTTTGCCTGCCCATAAAATTCCCTCAACCATTCTCTGAACATCAGGCACTACCTTAAATAACGTAGCCACCTACAAAACAGCAAGCTGGGTGTCAGAGCAGGGGGATAAGTGTTCAGAAGCTCCCCCTGTGCTGCAGTCTTTGAGGCCACAGCATTGGAGAGAATATAATTGATGTCTGCATGGGGACAAGTCACAGGGACGTCCTTCTAAATGGTTTTGAAGCCTCAGTGATTAGTAGCAGATTATGGAACCTCTCTCAGGGGAGCTCGTGCTACACATCTCTGTCATGCACAAATGGGCTTGAATTTTGTGCAGCTGGGAGGCATTAATTAGCAATTTACACCCTGTTTCTCCAGGGGACAGCCTGATTGCCACACGCCTGGGAATCAGGACAAAAGGATGGGGAGAAGCCTGGCATGCTGGAGTCCAGCCACAGCTCAGCTGGTGCTGTGACACCACAGGTGCTGCTGCAGCAGTACCTCTTGCTCGAGGTGAGAGTCCCTTTTTGTGCTACACCAGGAGTCATGGGCAGGGCTCACAACCAGCCTTTAAGTGACTAAGAAAGTAGTGGCATCACCCAGGACTTTGCTGCTAGTCTAACACACCCAAGAGGATGCTACCGAGGCTTATGCAAATGATAGCGGTACATTTAGCAGTTCCCCCAGATTGTCATAATTAAAGGCTTAACAAGTGGTTTTCCCAGGTGTTGATCATCAGTCAGGCATCCGACGTTCAGGTGTACAAGGTTTTATTGCTGCCTGAGACACGCAATAAAAGCTCTCTGGCAGCACTGCTCCTTGGCTGCAGGAGGTGAGTGGCTATGAGGCTTTCCAAGGTTGCATCAGGCAGCAGCATGAGGTGGGGACAGCTCACAGCTTCCCCACCCTCCCCTGGCAGTCACCAGCTGGGGATGTTCCTTTTTACAGATGATTTTCTGGGTGAAGAAGAAAAATAGCGTTGGCAAGGAGCTCCAGGTGAGAATACCTCCCAGTGCTGATGTGCTGTACATCAGCAGGGTGCACGCAGGGGAGAGCACACTGCACCATGCTGTTTGCTTAGTTTCACATTTTACTTGCTTTGGCTACTTCACAAATACCAGCAGTATTTTGTTATGCTTTTTTCTACTTAGCTGAGCAGCCCTTGCTTTGCCATTTTTCTCTTGTGGTTACTGGTAGACCATGGTCATGTCACAGCTTCACCCTCTCTTCTAGACACAGCATAAGATGTAGTTCGCCTGCTGCGATTAGAGTTTTTGTGGAGGACAATCTGGGTGAACCCCTTGTTTCTCTCTGCTTTCTCCAGACCATGTAAGCCAGCAGAGTATAACAACAATGATTACAATGCAAGAAATGTGTGCTTTACTTTCAATTTGTCACCTCCATGGTCACTGGAAGGACAAACGCAGCTTGTTCCAAGCAGGGCTGCTCCACAAGAGTGGTTCACACTCATTCCCTGTGCAGCAGTCTGGGGAGGTTTACCAACCTTGAGTGTATATAAAGAACAAAAGCCCTCAAAACACTTTTTCCTGCAGTGATTTGATCTTTTCAAAGATCAAACTATCTCAGATGAAAGAGAGGAGTTGGAGAAATAAGCAGCAGGGGGAAGCCCTGACGAGAAATGAATTAGTCATTGCTTTCCGAGCTCTACAGTTAGATCGGGGGCATTGGGGTCATTCTACTGGAGACTTGTCTCCTCCACAGGTGAGAGCAAGCACAAAGCTGTGGGGATGCAAGCAGTTACATGGTGATTTGGGTACAGACAAGAGGTAGGCAGGGCTGACCAAGCCATCTGCTTGGTCTGATTTTGCTCTCAAGTCTAACACAGTTTAGGGAGCACAAAGTCTTTGTGGCAAGCAGAATAAATAAGAGAAAAACAGATCCAGCATAAGGCCAGTGCAAATGTTAATTTATAAATGATGCAGATGCATTATTACTGTTTTTTTTCTATACTGGCTACCCTTAGGCATGAAGGAGGCACAGAGCTGGTGATGCCACCATGCTATCCTGGTGTTCCTACTGCAAGAAGCAAGAAAAGCCAACTGAACTCAAATACTGCCCTGCCCAGCTGCATAAAAGACTGTGAATATGTACATATGGCTAATAGGATTTCAAGCTTACTAATCCTGTTGAACTCATGCTGCCATCTCTAACATGAGTGTGTAAGCCCACTCCTATGTTCAGCAGTGGAAAGTGCACAGATCCTATTTGACATCTTATTCTAAGCACAATGGAGGTGCCACGTTACTAGCCCAAGCCATTATTAATAGTATTATTATTACTACTACTAATATATATATATTTTTTTTCCCAGAAAAGATAGCACTACCATTCTAAAGAGAAGGATGGAGGAGGCAAGTCAGAATCTGTCAATACATCCCACATCTGGTCTGTGTCTGTTTGCCTTGGTTGTCCCCTAAAGTCCTGTGCTGGGACAGGGTGTTATGGGCAGTGATCTTGCCCTGTGCCTGACTGCTCGCCCTGCAGTAGGAGCTGGCAGCCTGGCTGAGAGCATCCCTGTGTCAGCATGGCCTGACCTGCCAGGCAGATGGAGGTGTCAGCCGGATCCATGCTGCTCCAAATCTCTTTTTGCTGCTCCTCTTCACAAATTCCTTTTCAGCCACAGTTTCCAAAGCAAGGCAAACAGACCTTGCGCTGGGATGTCTTCCAATGCAAAGATGAGATGTTGCTTTTCTTTAACCAGTTTGTTTAAGATATAGAAGCCAGTTCCACAGAGGGCCAAGTTCCCTTCCCATAATAAATTATGGGCTGATTTGGAAGACTGTTCGTGAAGCACTGTTGCAAAAAAACATTAGCCCAGGGCACAATTCTCTCTCCCAGCACTGCTACACCTTGAAATGATGGCAGCTCTACAAATGTGCAGATACTCCTTGAGGATCCTGTGTTACACCCAAGCGGGCACAGTGACAGCGCCCACTTCATGGTGCTTGAGCATCTTCAATGAAAGAGCCTCTAGCTAAAAGAGAAGCTGGAGGTGCTGCCAAGTTTTCGGAATGCTTCTGTGCTGTGTATCTCACAGAGGTTTGCTCCCAGCCTCACTGCAGAATCCTGGAATATCTCACTGTGGTGCCAAGGAGTGATTCTTCCTGGAAGGAAGGGCTAGATGAAGTCATACTCACCCCTGGCACTGCTCTGCTAAAGGAAGGTGCAAATAACACAAACCTGTGCCATATGGCATCACATGGTACGGACCTGGGCAGCAAGAACACAGCCTTAAAACTGTGAGGTGCAGTACAGGGAAGAGAGATGTTGGTCTTGCCTGTTCTCAGATGAAGTAAGCTTTAAATATTGCTCAGCTGACAACAATGAAGTGTCAAAAAGGTCCCGTCCTTCCCTTATTTTTGAATCTTTTCCCCTTCCCCTCCCAGGTGAAGAACTCCAAACTGCCAGCCTCCACGCCATCTGCTCTTGTTTCTGGATGTGCAGCACTTCAGGGAAAGTTAAGTTTAACATCATTTGCAGCAGGTGACAGAAGCTTTCTGCCTTTTGTACAAATATAAAATGATTCTGGCCAATGCCTCCCAAAATTTGCCTTCTTTTCAAATGTATTGTCACCACCAACCCCTGTGGTTTTATTTTCTATAAACTGCCTGCTCCCTTCAAAACAGTCAGCAGCAAGGGAGAGTCCTTCACTGCCCATGGTCAGGAACTGAAAGTGCAAGAGAAGCCATAATGCCATGCTGAGAAAGTAGGAAGACAGAAGTGCCCTCGAAGGTTAATGGCCAAAATCTGGGAAGGATGAACACTCTCTGCAAGCACTGTCTTAAAACAAGATGCAGATGATGGGGCCAGAGGAGAAACCAGGTGGTTGGGTTTTTGTTTTGTTTTGTTTTAAAAAAAGTTTTACCAACCACAAAAAAAAAGTGGTGTTTGATCTTTTTACTTTCAAGACAGTTTATGTCTAAAGGTTTTCCTTTAGAACTCCATTTAAGAGAGACTCATTGAGAAATTACTCCAGAGTGTTTATTCACACTGATAAAACAGAGCATTTGGCTCCAAGCCTAATGACACGCCAGTTGCAAATTAATTAAGTGATAATCTTTATCGGTCTGCAGTATACACAGCAATAAACCTCCACCCTCGCTATATTAATAACTGGAGAGATGGTTAGGCATTAAATCAGTCTCAAAAAAAAAAGCTGTTTATTGCAAGTAACCTGCCCTGCAGTGAGGCTTATGTAGCCTGGACAACGAACCTCCAGGAAATAGGAGCAGCATTGGGAGCCTCATATTTGGGGCTCTGGAAATCAGAGCAGCCCTGGGATGGTGGAGGGATGGTGGTGGGATTGGTGCTGCACCGCTGTGTGGGATCAGCTGCCCACCAAGGGGCTGGCTGCTGCTGGCAAGGAAGCCCCACAGCTTTGTGTAGGGCTTCCTTTTTTTTTTTTTTTTTTAAGAACTAAATAGCATGGTTTTCCAGGCTTGGCATCGAAGTGACCAAAGGGCTTTCATTATTTCTGATAAGAAAGGTGAGCCTGCTGCCAGCAGAGTTCCCACAGCAGCAGTACCGCAGTCAGTTAAGGATGATTTGAGATTGCCATTAGCAGAACTGTGATGGTTGTTCATCTCTTTTAGCTATCAAGATCTGGAGGTTCCTATTTTTATTTTTTTCTCCTTTCTTCTAATTGCAGAGTGTTTCTGAGGGGAAGAAAACAGTACTTCTGGCTAGAGACTGGTTCCTTTACATAAAGGCAAATATCCTGGCCTCATGTTGGCAGCATCATAGCTTGTTACTGGTGGGGTAACAGCACCCACATTGCCTGCAGAGAAAAAGATGCCCTTTCTCTGCCCCAGAGAAAAAGAGGACCAGCAATTCCTGTTGTCCAAGAGCCATAACAAAAGCACCTGCTTTTTTTGTCCCACGGATAACCGGGGCTGAGAGGATGTATTTCTATGAGTGTTTTTCAGGCCTGTTGCTGGCTTTGGCAGTGGGTTGCTGGAGCCTTGGCACTGGTTATTGACACAAGCCCAGCACCTCTGAGGGCAGGATTCATCGTTCATCCTGGGCCAAACTGCCCTGGCCTCCTGCTCTGGAGCTCGCGTTGGGCCAGGCCAACAAGTGTCCCCAACTCTTCAAAGTAGAACACTTTGTCCTAGTGAATAAAATACACACTGCTGCTGCTGCTCAACTAAATTAGGAGCCCAATTATTTTAATGGCTTTTTTTTTTTTTTTTTTTTTTTTTTTTTTTGGAACACCAAGAACTTGCAGAACAATCATCCGGGCCAGGACGTTTTTGTTTCCTAAGCAGATTGTCAATGCTAATGACTTGCAACTTGTCAACAGGAACCAAATTCCCATGGCAAATAAAGGGAGAAATCATGGCATTTTGGCATGTTTCACCATGCTCAAATCAATCACCTCTGAAAAATAGCATTGTGGGAGAGAGACTGGTCAAATAAGATAGTTGGAAAAATAGGATTTTTTCCCTGTTTCCTTTCTCCTCTAGCCACAATGTACATAACTACCGCACTTGTATCAATTATTTAGGGAAGAGGCTCATACTCTCATGTACATAAGGTTTTGGGTCTCAGTTCCAGTGGACCAGTAATTAGGCTTCTTTTTGTCATATATTTATGATGGGTCTCTTGAGACCTCTTTATGATTTGGAAACATTTGTAGTGGAAGAAAAGATGGCCCCTATGGCTTTTCGTCATCCATATTTTTATTTTTAGGACAAAATGCAACATAATTAAATACCAAAATATCAATATGATAACATTCAGAAATACTCTTCTGCCAGTAACATGTGCATAACATAATAGTGCAGTAATGCACTGGTAGAATATGCTCACTAAGAGAATAATGTGTATTTTGGCATGTTTTCACTAGATAATTTTTGCCTAATAATTTTGTTCAGATTGTAGCCGACTTGATCCGTAAACCATGGGATGGTCAAATGGAGGCTGCACATTCTGTATCAGATAATGTGAGCATAAATTTTTCATTATTCCATCTGCTCGTTAATGTTGACAATCAAGTCGCCATCAATAAAGCAATATTTGCTGACTATTACCATCCAGGTGGTCCCTGAGATAACACAATCCATCCCTGCAATATAAACTGGCAAATAACTGGGCTATTTCCAGATACAGTTGTGTGGGCTCTAATGACAGATGCTGATTTATTTATTTTTTTAATACCGTGTGCTATATATAAAACACCAAACAATCCATGAATAATCTAAGACCTTAAATAACTTGGGTCATACATATGTATATTCATTCTACCCAGTGTTCAAATCAAAATATCACAACCTGTCAGCTTAACAATCGTTACTAAACCATTTTTTGAGTTCTTTAAGGCTTTTATTTTTCTACCAGACCTGCTAGTATGGAGTTTGTTTTGAAAAGATTGTTCTTGACAAGCTTTGAGTTTATCTCTAGTAAATATCAGATTGTTATTAGGACAGATATATATGTACCCAGTGTAACATGAATTTGCAGCCTTTCTTTCTCATACCAAAGATATATATATATGGGTTTGATACTATTCACTATGACTGTTCCAGGACTCAAAGCTGAAGTCAAATTTCAGTGAAGTTGTGACCCTCTTTACACTGCACTCCAAAGATTCCCTAGGCTATTTCTTGCTGAGCGAGTTGAAACCTCAGATTGGCAGTAGGTTTCTGTATGTTCCACTTAAGATTGTTCTGTAATTTTTTTTACAACATAGAGTATCCCAGTATCAGTTTCCTGTCATTTTATTTAGAAAAATTCCATGGCTTCTGTTAGTAGGTAGTAAGCTCTTGAATTTTCTCTTGCCTGGAGGAAAGAAATAAACAGCTGTTACACGTTTAACTCTTCAAATTGATCCTGGATATATTTTCTTACAGACTGATGAGAAAGGTTTTCATGGATAGGAGCTGTTACACCTGCACTAGTATCACTCTCTGCATCGGATTAACAGTCCAACGTTGCTTTTGTCAATAACTGAATGTGCAGAAATAATTAACGATTCCCTGGTGTGGTGCTAAAAAGCATTCTTTGATTCTCAGGCTGCCCAGTTTGCTGACAAATGGCTACTGAAGAGGCATTTTCTTGGCAAGACTTAGGCAGCTCTGGAGGAGGCTCTGGATGCAGGAAGCAGAAAGAGATGCTGAGCCCCAGCAGCAGGAGTGGGAGACGGCTGGCTGCTGCTGGGCATGGAGATGGGAGTCCAACCCGATCCAAACAGTAGTCACTGCCAGTAGCCAGTTTTCTGTGGAGAGCATCATTAACCAAGCAAGAAATTGGGCATTCATTCCTTTGCCATGTAACAAAGCATTATTTGCTGAAGGAACCCACAGCGAGATGTTTTGCCCCTGTTTCAGACTGAAGCTAGATCTTATTTCCAGTTTAATTCCCTATAGGAATATATGTTTTTTTTCTTCTAATAACTTTGAGTTTAGCGTTGATCAAGATAACCTCCAGAAGTCCCTTCTAACTGGAGTTATTCTGTCTTTATAACCAGCCAAGATCAGTGAGGGCAGCAAACTAGAATTCAAGTAATTATTTTGTGCAGAAGACAAATTGCAGTGATATATTGCAGCAATTCCTTACCATTCAAACATCTTTCAGCATTGCTGATCAGATAAGCCAGGGAGCCGGCTTTTCTCTTGATTTTCTCAAAAGCCCCAAAGGGGACTGAGACTTTGCTGCCTTCACTGAAGTGTTTCTTCTTTGCTGCCACCTCTGTTCCTGCTTTGACTGCAATTGTTTCTTAACTGATGGAAAACTCTCTGAATGAGGTGGCATTTTTTACTGTTCTGGTATTTAATGAGACAGAGCAGTGGGAGCAGGGGAAGATCTAGCTTCCTATTCAGCCCGTATCTAATGTATTGAAAGAAAACTGGAAGAAAAAGTGCCAAGGCAGCAGCTTATCTCTCTTTATCTGCCCAGACAGAAACCCTTGAGAAATGATACCTGCTACACGAGTGAGCATCTTCATCTGTTAGATTTTTTTTAAAAATATTTTACTAAAATGTGAGGAATGTCAGATTCAGAACATTTTTCTCAAAACAAGAGTGACAATCTCCCACTTCTGGTAGTCACGTTGCAGGCTATCGGTTTATGTCCAGGAAAAGCTCAGCCCATCATGTTCATTCCCACAATGAAACATAAAGCTAAGAGCAGCACCTCTGCTCAAGGGCCATTAGTATGCCTGGAGCATTTTGCATAGGGGAAACATGAATTATCTTTCCATAGCAAAGCTACAGCATGAATTAATGTTCCTTAATTTCCCCAGTGCAGTAATTTCACACTTGAGGGATAAAGCTTCCCTGGTGCCAGAAAGCTCCGCAGCCCAGCAGGCTGCTGGATTTATGGCAAAGCATTGCCCCCAGAAAGTCACAGTGCTGTGGGATGGTCGGTGCCACCAGCTCCTCTGTCCCTCTGTGCACAGCCCAGTGCTCTCCAGGCTCCGAGGCCATGATGTGCCATCGTTAACCACCTTACAGCCTGAGTTAATTACAACAGAGGCACAGCTCTGGGATGGGGACCTGTGGGCAAAATTCACAGCAAGAAAACTTTTTAAAGACTGTTTTGAAGAGATACTTGATGACAGAAGAAGAGAAAGATAAAGCAAGTGCCACTAAAAAAAACAAAAAAAAACAAAAAAAAAAAAACACAAAAAACACAATAATAACAAAAAATAAAAAATATACTCAAAAACATGGTTATACAACGGCACTGCCAACATCAGTTTGAAATGGGGAGTTGAAGCCAAGACGGGATCCTGTCTGGGAGAAACTGGTGTCACGGTGTGGTGTTCAGGCAGGAAGCAGCAAGGCAGGGGAGATAGCATCTCCTGAAGCCACACCTGGAGATACGCTGGGCTGTGCCACGAGACCCAGGTGCTGGCACTGCCAAGGCTGTGATATCATGTGCGGTGTCACCAGCCACACCCTGGAAGAATGTAGGTCTTTTATTCAACGCTTTTTGGCAGAAGAAAGAGAAAAGCCGCTGTCTGTCATCAGGGCTGTGTCAGGCTGAAGGTATGGGCTCAAGTGAACATCAGCTTCTTTAACGCTGAGACAGGCAGTACAAAACAACAGGCCTGTCATCCATGTATTAATTTATTTCTCCATCCTTCTTGTATGTGAAAAAAAAATATATATATATGTTTGTAGTACCACTCTGCCACATGCATTTCTGTGAGCTAAATCTCCTGGCTGGGTTCAGATGCAGCTGGGCTTGTGCTGGGGGAGAAGAGGGAGGGAGGAGATGCCGAGGAAGTTTTCTACCATGTACGATCGCCAACGGCACTAACTCTTTCAGGCTTGTAAGTAGCCACACACATACACACAGCTGTGCTCAGCAGGACACACAGTGTTCAAGGTGAAGAAACTCCCACTCCTACCAAGGATTCCTGTACCTCATCCTCCCAGGGACAGGATAGTGGGGACGGTGGATGGGACGGACCCGTAGCCAAAGCCAGGATAACCATACCTTGCATCCAGTCCCTGCCTGCCCTGCCCTGATCAGTTGTCTCTCTCCTGTCTTGATCTTTCTGCTCCTTTCCCCTTGCCTTGCTTTCTCATCTACTCTGAGGAAGATGGGAAGAAAGCCACAGACACAAACGAGGTCGCAGCAGTCAGAGCTGGATTAGCTGTTCCCAGCCCACAGCACAAGTCCCACCTGGGACCAGAGGCTTGGCAGAGGCACTGGGGTTTCACTGCTGAGTGCAGGGGCTTCGTCCTCCCAAAAGTCAGCCCCAGTCTGCAGAAGGTCTGACCTCTGTTCATCGCGTTTTCTCAGCTGCTTCTCTGCTTCCTCCTTTGTGCTGGTTGCTGGCTTGCCAGTAAAACAGTTCATCAGCAAGGAATTTTTTATCCTTTCTATTTACAGCCCAGGAAGAGAGCACTTTAATGGCCTTTCCAACAGCAGAGAGAGAGACAGAATCTATCTTGGACAGACATCAAATGGATGCCAGCCTGGTTTAGGCTAATAAAGAGCATCATTGAGCTAATGAGATTAAGGCTGACTTGTTTATGCTGTCCCTGCTGGAAACGGTGCTCCAGGATAGCGGCTGTGATGTTCCTGGGACCTGGGGAATTACAGAGGAATTTCTGCGTGGCCCAGAAGGCATTGACCCAATTCCTCTGCCCTCCCACGCCCAGCAGTTTGCAGGTTCATTGGGAAAGATCAAGGTAATGAACTATTCCCTCCTAATTTTCCCATCCCTAGATAGAAAGAAGCAGAAATCCTCGGGCCAGTGATGAGACACCACATTCATCTTGTCCCTGGAGAAACCTCTTAGCATGTTCCCTAGGGTGGGGGCTGAAACTATGAGCTGGTGGGGAGGAAGAAGAGGACAGGGCATAGGTGAGAGGGACTGGTTGTCCACCTTTGCTGTCTATTGCCAGTAACATCCACTCACCATATCTACCTGCAAGTTATCCACAAGGAAGGTAGGAGATTCTCTGAACCCTTCTGCTGCATCACCAGCTGCAAGTAATTAAAACATCCCATAAATTAAAAATCCCAACAGTCAAATGAAGTCATGCCTGAGTCCAAATCTGAAGCAGCGGAAAGGACTCGTTTTTTCCAAGCTCTCTGTGAAATTGTTCTCAAACCCACTCCAGCAATCTAGGAAAAAGGAAAGTACTCCTCTGGGAAATGTTTTGGGAGTGTGACTGCCCACTGGGAGGAAGCACAGGCGTGGTGGCTGTGTTTTTGGGGATGCTGGCAGAGCAGACACCCCAGACACCATGGGGAGAGAGCTGAGGTGCTGCCCTGCAGCTGGGCACTGCTTGTGGCTCAGGATCTGGGGCATGGCTGCTCAGCCTGCTGGCACCATACCCTGA